CCCTCTTTCCTGAACCTACATTTTTCTTGACTCAGCTAGGGTGGCTGGCTAGCAAACCCAGGGACCCTCTTCTCTGTGCCTCCCAATCCTGGGATTACAAGTGTGCATGGCACATTTGATTGAACTTTGGTCCTCATGCATGCATGGCAAGCCCTTTACCCACTGAGCCATTTCTCCAGCCTGAAGTTACATTTTCTAATGGAGACCCACCTGTAAAGAATTAGGTTAGATTTGGTGTGGCAAAGCGACTTGAATGAACCCAAGACTTCACGTCCTTATCCTGAGTCTCCCGCTCAATCCCAATTTGACTCTAAAGTCTTCATTTACCCCCTAATGCTCAGCCTCTTGGTGGTTGTTAATGCAGCTTCTTGAAAGATCAAAATGAGCATTAAAAAATAGTTCATGGGTAGGCCCCCAGGACATGTCTGTTGTTATGCATACTCTCCCGGCTTTAGCATCATTGTTGAGTTTCTCTGACCACCGCACAGAAGCCCTACACAGAGGGCCAAGTTCAGAGCAGTTGTGAGAGGAGATGCCTCATATAGTGCTCTCTGTGTTGGTAGCCAGTGCTACCCCATGGGACCATGGTAACAAGATAACCAGAGAAATTGCTGCTACTCGGACTGGCAGACGTGCCTCTATCTCACAGCCAAGTGCAGCCGATATGGAAGAACCAGCTCCTGAAATGAGAGGCCTTTTCCTGTCATGCTCTCTCTGGTGTCTGTGATTGTCTCAGCCCACACACATGCCCCGCTAAGATCTATGCGGAGCATTGGGACACAGAGCATCATGTCTGAGGCAGCAAGTGGTATTGGCTGTACAGACTCCCAGGGGAGCTGAGTCTTTGTAGAGAGGCCTCAAAGGTCAGCTCCATGGTGGGGCTGACAGGCTTGCTCTAAGAGGTCCTGGAGAGTGAGGGTGAGGGTAGAGCTCCATCAGCCAGGCATTGCGATAAGAGAGGAGCACACCTGCAGAATATTCTAAACACTCACTTGGATGAACAGTGTGCCTGAGGGAAACGGGCTTGTGTCCTCACCAGGGAGCCAGCACTTCCACTGGCCAATCCACCTGAGGAGAGCCTTCCTACCAGCCCTCAAATGTCTACAGCTAAGGGGAAGTGACCATTTTGCTCCTTTTTAATGGCATTTATTTTTGCTTATGTTAGTTCCATGTATTCAATTTTTAATATTTTAATGGAACAGAAAAAAGGATAAAGGCATACATGATCTATTACCATAATTAGTAATACTGATATATATTCTTACAGTATTATATGTGTGTATACATGTTTGCATGATATATGAGGTGTGTATATACATATATACATTATGTAATAATGTATATACATTATGTAGTAAGTATATAACTGCACATATTTATGTATGTACATGTGTTTTTTTCATTAAAGTATTAAACATATCAACTGTTTTATAGCTTGCACTTTTCACTTAATTACATACCAAGAGAATGCCATTAAGTATCTGTCTACTGTCTGATATTTAATTACTTCATTCCAGCATTAATTTAATTAGTCTCTTTTGCAGAACACTCTAGTTCCTTCAACTTTTTTGCCCAGTTAGTTGTACATAGTTGCAGGTACATCTCTGTGCCCCTTTTTCATCATTTCCTTAGAAAACTGCCATAAATGAAGTTAACTTTGGAATAATATGCACATTGAAGGTTTTAGGTTTTATGTGCCTAATTATCTTCCAAAAAGCGTGGGCCTGTCTCTATGCTACATGCCTGTATATACATGTGTGTGTCCTGTTATTTCTGTTTCCCTGCGACTACTATCATCCAGCCAACAACTTCCAATTGCAGTATGCCCGAAACGTCACTAGTCACACAGGCCTTTGGCAGAATGCCCAGTATTTATGCCCTCCTTCCTAATATTCCCTGAAATATGGAGGAGGGAGCCGGTACTCAAGGAGACTGCCTTGCAGGAATAGTTATTGTATCTCTCCACTTGCTGTATTAAGTTTAAAGCCTCCCTGGGTAGAGATAGATTAGCAGAAAGCTGGGGATCCCTGCCCGAGTTGTGCCCCCCTCCATTTCCTTCCACCTCCTCAGCCTGCTTTCACACAGAGTACTATTATGTTGTGAAGCAGACCCACAAAAGCCACTTGTGTGCCCTCAATAAGACTGTGGTGGAGACGCTGTTCATTACATCACACAGCCTCTGCTTTATGAGGGCTCCTGGGAACTATTGCTGTCCAACCTCTGTGTGAACAACAGTTGGAATTTTCCTGAGCAATTGGTTTGTGTTTATCTCGAAGCCACTGTAAACTGTATATCTGACAAGCTTTCTTTATCCCACGGGCGTCTGCGGTGCTCAGACGTCCCACTTGTGACCCACAAGCCAGCAATGGGGATGCAGAAATGTAGTCATAGCCTGAGAAGCAGTTCTCATGTGCTCTTCTATCTTGTGACTCCTCACTTTTAATTTACACTGTCTTGTCTTGCTTTGTAGCCTATTGTAAGCCACCGGAAAAACATTGAGAAGGAGACAAAAAAATAAGATGTGAAAAAGATCCACAAAGTGTATTTCTGTCTAGTTTCTTCAACATTTCCATTGTGCTCTATTTTAACATCCTCCTATTTGCAGACTTAAGGCATAGTGCATGCAACTCAGTACTGCAGCAATACTGGCCTTACAATAATTGGAATACCCAAATAAAGTTTCTGAAAATATTGTGATTGTCCTGCTCATTCTCATGACCCTGCGGAGTCAATGCCATTGAAATGACAGTGCTTCTTTGGATCAAAATGTGCTTTACCTCTAATTATGAAAAGAGTCAATAGCACTACTTACTGCTGAGTGACACAAAAGGAGGGACATAAGCATCAAAGAGAAACTGTGAGTGTCTAGTTGGGCTTTGCTCAGGAAGTTTTCCACGGCGAATAAAAAGGTTAAAATTTACGAAGAGAGGTGACAGTATAAACTACCATCAAAATGTATATAGAGTCCACCTGGACCCCTCCCTCCCTACACTCCTCAAGCAAGCAACCAAGCAAGCAAGCAAACAAAACAATATTTCACATCCCTGGTCATCACGGAAACAAACTTTCAAATCATATTGAGGTACTAACAGGCACCTACTTGAATTGGAAAGACTGACCACAGAGGGTGTTGGTGAGGGCGTGGGGTAACTCGCCAAGACTGCTGCTGGCAGTGTAAAATGTTTCAACTCTGTTTGAAAGCAGCTCCTTGTTCTTTCGAGAGTTATCTACACAAGATCTGTCCAACTCACGAGTAGATGTTTTCCCACAATGAATGAAAGAAAACGTATACAGACATAAGGCTGTACATTAATGTTCACAACAGATTCCTTTTAGCAGATAGAAATGGGTACAATGTGACAGTCAGCCACCAATAGGTTAATAGACAAGAAAACCATGGTATATTGTTTATCATTAGCAGTTTGTTCTTAGAATGGATTATTCCTAAGTACAAGCTAACTAAATAAAAATGGTGAAACATGCAATGATGTAAATGACCCTCACCTCAGAATTATTGAGGAAAGATCTTAATACTGTTTGAGTCCTTTTTTTTTTTTGGTGTGTGTGTGTGTGTGTGCACATGTTCATGGGTAGATAAAGACATGCTTGCAAGTGCCACAGCAGGTGTGAGAAGTTCAGGGGACATTTCTACCTCAGGCATAGATAGATCCTCACCATTCACCTTGTTTGACCCAGGATCTTCCCCCAGTGTTCACTGCTGTACACCAGGATATCTGGCCCAACATCTTCCAGGGGTTCTCCTGTCTCCACCCCCATCTCACCACAGGCATGCTGGGATTGCAGATGCTCTGCTACCACACAGGGATCTGCGTACATTCTATGAATCTGAACTCTAGTCCTGACGCTTGTGCAGCAACAGCCTCATCCACTGACCCATTCCCCTAAGCCCTACACTGATGTGAAATTCTAGAACATGTAAACTAATACGTAGTGTCAGGAAACAAACCAGTGGTTATTTATTATACATTGGAAGAGAGAGAGATTAATAATGAGGACAAGGACACTTTAGAAGGTGATGCCAACATTCATTATCTTGATTGTGAAATTATTCACATATAAATACATTAAATATGTCAGGTTGTATGCCTTAAACAGTGCATCTCAATTATCTTCAATAAAGCTATTTGAAAATATTTGGTATTAAATGTAAGCTAGAGATAGTGGCTCACTCCTGTAATCCCAGCACAGAAAGACAACAAGTTTTGGGCCAGCCTGAGCTACATACAAGACATTCTTAAAAAGAAAGGAAGTGTGTCTGTCTGTGAGAGAGAGAGACAGAGAGAGAAAGAGCAGACAGACAGACAGACAGACAAAGAAGATGATCTCAAGGACACTGCATGCAGATGCTTGGCTCTACCTTCTGTGCTGCCCCAGAATGTTGTCCTTGTGTTTGCAGTGACAGTGCTGTCACAATGAGTGCTCTCATCTCATTCTGTGTCCCATCCCCTGGCTTTGTACCTTACCCAAAGACAGGCTCTCTCATCCTGCTAGGGAAGTAGGATCAATGAGCAGAAACGAAAAGTGGATTAAAGCTAAAAACACTGCCCTGATGGACTCTACTCAGTGATGGACGCATTTAGCCAGAGAACAGACTTTTAGTTCAGGGACAATTCTTTTCTAAGAATAACAATTTCATCCAGATATCCACGTATCTTTTAGTCATGGACTGATGACGTAACAAACCCAGGCCCTAATATATTTCCTTTGTCTTAGCTTTAGTAATTGTAGCTTTGAAGGCAAAGTCATTAGACAATGCTTTGGGGGGGGGGGGCGTACATACAAATTCTAGACCTAGGTCTTTCAGATTGCCACCAGCTTCCCCATCTATAAAATGTCAACCTAGCAGAAGGATAGGATTTCACAAGAGTACGGACAGAGAGCAATATCCAAGGAGCAGAGCTATTTTAAAATGTCTACCCACCACCACCACACCTTTCTTCACACTCATGAGTGTGGAAAAGGGTCTCTCTCATTCTTACCTGGAGCCAAAGTTTGTCGTGCTGAGACCACTTCCCACCAGCAATGCACTGGAATGTGGCATTCTGCCCCACATTCACCTCAACATTTTGGAGTCGCAGGAAATGAGGTGCTTTTCCTACAAGAGAAAACCAAACACAGGACATGTGAGGACAGGATGCAGCTGTCCACAACACTTCCCCAGCAGGGATGGCAGCCCAGGATAGAGCCCAGGGTCATGGGATGTGTGTCTCAGAAGATGTCAGGCTCAGACAGAGTGGATGGATCACTACAGAGTAAGGACTATTCTGTGAATCCCACATGCTGTCTCATTTAAACCCCATGAGATCTGGGGAGTAGACAGGAGAGCACCCTCACTTTACAGCTCAGAAGTCTAAGACTCTGAGCATTGCACAATTTTGGCAAAATCAGGCATCCAGAAAACCGGGGAATCAAGACGGGAGTCCTCTCCTATGAGACCCTCAAGGTTCCTAAGACTAGCTATTGTGGAATGTTTCTCTGCCAACTTGGCCCGCTCATCTCTAGAATGGATCTAAAGTGAATGTTGCCCCTGGGAATGACAGTGGAAGTGAAAGGAAGAATCATAGAACCCAAAGCTCTTCCCTTGACTCCAATGCTGATGTGATGATGTCAATAGTTAAGGACAAAGAGTACAGCAGAAAGAAAGGAGGCGGAGCCTACAACCATCTGTCACTTACTGAGTTTTTCTCTATGATAGACACCACGTTCAGCACTTACAGTTCATTCAATACAGTGTGACCATCCCTACGACTCACTAATAGAGGAGCAAAGGATGCCGGAAAGTTGGCCTGGCCGTGTTCACACAGACACGCAGTCTATGTTTTCAACTTTCCACTGTAGCACCTCCTAAGCGCAGGCGGGAGGTGGAGCGCAAAGAAGTCTGTACATAACATGGATAAAGACCTTCAAATGAAGGATAGGAGCTCTACAAGGACCAAACATATCTGGGCACAGGGTCTTTTCTGAGACTGACACTCAACCAAGGACCATCTATGGATATAACCTAGAATGTGGCCCGTGGTAGCTCAGTAACCAAGTAGTTTTCCAAAGTAAGGGGAACACGGACTATTTCTAACAGGATCTCAAGGGCAGGCTGTTAGACGCCCCCCCCCCGGGGAGGAGCAGTCTGTTAGGCCACAGAGGAGGACTTTGCAGCCAGCCCTGAAGATACCTGATAAAACAGGGTCAGATGAAAGGGGAGGAGGTCCTCCCCTATCAGTGGACTTGGAAAGGGGCAGGGAGGAGACCAGGGAGGGAGTGTGGGGTTGGGGAGGGAATGAGGGAGCGGGATACAGCTGGGACACAGAGTTAACAAAATGTAACTAAAAAGAAAAATAAATAAAAAAATAAAATTAAAAAAAAAAAGGAAAAAAAAAAAGACCTTCAAATGAAAGCTAGCAAGTAAGATCATCAGCCCCAAGATTAAGCCTGGCGTTTTGTGTTAGATAACTTGAGTTCGTCTCTTTCCTTACTTGCATGGTCAATTGTTTTTTTATATAAGTCCCTCACAAAACAGCAATGTCTGATTTCCATTAGCTAATAATTAATGACAAGAGGAATGAGCTTTGCTATTGAGGGCAATGGAGGTTTCCCAGAACTATCAATAAAATCAGTGATAAGCTGGGCACAGACTCCTTATCCCAAGTGGAGCTAAATGGAGCGGCCTTACAGGACCAAGGACATCAAGAAAAATAGGAAGAATAACCATGTACTGAAAACCATACCAGTGCTAAGCAATATTCTAAGCTGAGGTTTCTGTTGCCATGATAAAACACTAAAAAGAACTTGGGAAGGAAAACGCTTATTTCATCTTACAGCCTGTAGTTCATCATCCATGGAAGTCAGGGTGAGAACTCAGGACAGGAACCTGATAGTAAGAATTAGAACAGTGATTGTGAAGAAACGCTTCTTGCTTACTGCCTTGCTCTTTGTGGCTTGCTCAGACTGTCTTCTTATACCATCCAGGACCACCTGCCTAGGAGTGGCACCACCAGTAATGAGGTAGGCCATCCCACATCAATAATTAATCAAGGGAATTCCCCCCCCCCAGAGCCCCTACAGGCCAGTCTGGTGTGAGTCTTTTCTCAAAAGATTCCCTCTTTCCAAATGACTGTATCTTGTGTCAAGCTGACATAAAAGCAGCCAGCAAAACACTTTGCATGTTTTATCTATTCTAATTTCTGAGAAGTGTATGCTAAAGGGCAAAAATTAGCATCAGCAAGTCCAAGATTGTTGTGACGGCTAACTTTAATTGTCAACCTGACATAACAGAATGACCTGGAAAGAGAATCTCAAAGAGGGAGGGACTGTCTACACTGGGTTGATCAGCAACCATGCCTATGGGGATTAAATGTTTCCAAATATTTTTATTAATTCATGACAATTTCATACAATATAATTTGATCATATTCACCATCAACTCCTCCTACATCTACCCTCTTCATTATTCCCTTCCTATCCACCCAACTTTGAGTTTTCTCTCCTCTTTGCATCAAATCCAGTTTATGTTGCCCAAATACTTTCTGGAGTAGAATCTGCCTAGAGTGTGATCCACCTGGCATGGTCCCATCATTGAAAAAAAGAATTACTCTCCCTCTTTCTAGGCTACTGGTAGAATCTCATACCAACTCCTACCCCCATCCTAGGATTTTATTTAGCTTGAACTTGCACAGGTCTTGTGCATGATGTCACACTAAGAGTTCATACCTGAAACTGCCATGTTCTATCCAGAAAACACTGTTTCTTTTCTTGATTTTATCCACTGTCTCTGGCTCTTACAGTCTTTTCATCTCCTCTTTCACAATGATCCCTGAACCTTGTGGGTAAGGATGTGATGTTATGCTTGTACCATTTAGGGCTGAGCACTCCAGAATCTCTTCTTTTCTGCACGCTGATAAGTCAAGAATCTGTGTTCATTGCTGCCTGCTGCACAGAGAAGCTTCTCTGATGGTTACACTGATACACTGATCTATATAGCAAGAAGTCATTAGTAGACATTTTAATACTCTATGTTCATTTAGTAAAATAGTACAATTAGGTCTTTTCCAAGGGCCTATGATCTGTCCAGCCACAAGTTCTTTTCCCTAATAATAATGCCAGCTATGGGTTTCCATCTCATGGATTGTGCCTTAGGTACAATCAAAAAGTGGTTGGGTACTCTCATAACATTTGTGCCACTATTGTACCAATAGGCACATCTTCTCATGGCAGTTAGTATAGTTTTCAGGGTTCAAAACTGAGCAAAGTTGATCATTTGTCTTTTCTGTTTTTATTGCATTTTTGTTTTAATTAATTTTCTCCTCCTTTTTCATGCGTAACACTTGGCTGCAATGTGAAAGCCAGCAGTTGAGGTGATGCTTTCAGGTTAGTACCAGCTTGATTTCTCCATGTTCTGTGACGCAAGTATGTGCAGTCTTCAGAAATATGGTCTTTTCATCAATTTCTTGAGGGTAAACAATAGTATTAACAATTGGCTATAATGTTTGGGGTTCTGTGGGACCGCCATTGGCTACCAATACAAAGAGTGGTAACCCTTTCCTGTTAGTCGGGAGTTTATTTGCTAACATGTGTTTTTAATCGGGGTATTGTCCTCCCCTTGTAGGGTAACTCCATTAAAATTCTTTCATATTATGCTTCTGTATATATTTTAGAAAGCCCTTACAGTAGTAGGCTTTCATTTGACTTTGTAAAAACTGCCTTTACTTTTAGTTTTCCCTTTCCTACTTTCTCTTCTATACTGTCCTCCCATGCCCCATGGAAATGTAACTCTTCCTGTGCCGTCAGTCATTCCTTTTTAATTCTTCACAGTACTGTATTCTATCTCTCTTCACTTGAAAGCTCCCCTCCTCCCATGGCTCCTTACTAATTTCCTAATCTCTGTGGGTATCCCATACAAGCATGCACACCTGACTCAAAGCTAACACATGAGAGAAAATATGTGACATTTGTCTCTCTTGGTCTGGGTCATCTCACTCAGAATGATGTTTCTAGCTTCATCCATTAATCTGAGACTTTCATAATTTCATTTTTCTTAACAGCTTAATATTTCATAAGATCATTTTTCTTAATAGCTTAATATTCTGTTGTCTAAATGTGCCACGTTTTTATTATCATCAGTTGATAGACGGTTAATTTTTATTATCATCAGTTGATAGACAGTTAAGTCTGTTTCCATTTACTAGCTATTGTGAATACAGCAGAAATGAAAATTAAAGAACAAAGTATCTCTATAGTAAGATAAAAAAGTCCTTTGGGTATATTCCCAAGAGTGGAATAGCTTAATCCTTTGGTAGATTTATTTCTATCTTCTGAGCATGGATTTTCCTCCACGTTGATTTTCATAGTGGTTGTACCATTTTGCATTCCCATCAGCAATAAATAAGTGTTCCCCTTTCTGTAGGGGTTTATCTCAATTAAGTTAATTGATGTAGGAAGATACAGCTCAGTATGGTAGGGTGCCATTTGCTAGGCAGGGGATCTTAAATTTTGAAACTGGAGAAATTGAGCTGAGAACAAATAAACAAGCAAGTAAGATTGCATACGTGCATTTCTCTCTGTCCTTGATTGTGAGTGTAAGTATCTGCTTCTCGCTCATCTGCTTTGAGTTCCTGACTATGACAGATTGTAACCTAGAATTTTAAGCCAGATAAATTCTTTTATCCTAAGTTGATTTCTATCGGGGTCTTTTATCACACAACAGAAATGAAACTAGAGCAGTTACCAAAGCTAAAGAGCATCACACAGAGAGTTCAGTTCAGTTCCTTTTGAGCACCAAACTCAATTTTGAACTAGCCACCTTCTTGCCTTGATGGCCTTGAGAAGAAAGATTGTATCATCACACATGCCTCAGGGTGCAGGGAAAGAATTCATGAGGTAGACAGCAATGACTCCCCTGGCTTCTCTGTTTGCTCCCAGATATTTTACAAGGAACCCCAATCCATGCTACTTTCCCCTGTGGATGTTTCGAACTGTCTAGCAAAATGTGCCACCACCTATAAGACTATCCAAAATTCAAGGACCTCAGTGTGCTAGAGGACACTTGCCATGAGAATGTATGTACCGTCTGCACATGTTTTTAAACCAGTTGACAACAGTTCA